GAAAGTCATGTTACAGCCTTCCTTGTCTACCTAAACATGATATTTCTAGTTTTATCATTTAGCTGAAAGTTCTGAGTGCTATATATCAAATTAAACCAGTGGTGGCTCGTCAGGGGAGGCAAGGGAGGCACAGCTTCCCCATAATTTTGAGGTGAAAATGGGAGGAGGATGATTTAATGTTAATAAAATTCACAATTCATTTCAGTTCATGTCTCAGAATGTGTATTTTTTGTTTGTAATTTCACAGTTGTAATAACATAACGTGAAAGCGCCACTTTTCTATCGCGAATGTGCCGAATCTGCTGATGTAATTACAACTGCTAATGATATAGAAGGGTAGGGGGAGGCCGGGGGAGAGATGGTGCCTCCGTTGGTAAAAAAAATTTGCCAATCACCATCGAGTGTTCACTTTCAGCGATGAGGAGTGTTGAGAAAAGAAACCTCGTAAGGGAGGCTAGCCTCCCTTCTGATATCAACCAATCATCAAAGAGACGTAAATTACGTGATATTAGTTTGAACGGCTGCCGCTGCGCTGATAGATGGATGTTTGCTTCAAGTGATAGGCCAGGTAAGTGAAATTATATTATCTTGCTGTATGTATGTCGTTTTCTTTATGTTTCTTTATCTTAAAAAAGCCATTTTAAAGTGGTTAAGCAAATAATAATAATAATAATCGGCAGGGATCCCAGACCAATACAATTATCCTGCCTCCTCTATTTTAAAACCCACGAGCCGCCACTGAATTAAACAAGCTAATCTACTGATTGAGATGATGCTAGTTCTGTAATTTAACATTGCAAATGAAATTATAACCTAGGAGTGAATTGTTGATTTCTACCTGTTTTTCCCCCTCATACTTCATACACAAAGACTTACAACATCTAAAATACTTTTACCTTATGGGGTTGGTGGGCATGCATGATACCTATTTCTCAGTGGTTAAACTGATGGTTTTCAACTCACCCCATGTTATAACCATCCCTGGTCTCCCCTGTTATTCAGGATACAGAATTCAATAGGAAGTCGATCTCTGGTCAGTTTCTTTTGGCAGTGAGTCCACTCTGAGTGATTGGGCTCATCACAGTGACCTGGGAAAACATCTGAGAGCCTTTCAGTGAGCCGCAGATGAATGCAGAGGTAGAGTGCTAACAGTGCATGTGCTTTTCTATGTGCGTGTCTGTTTACTTGTCAGAGTAGGCTATAATATCGTCTCTTAGCGAGTGTTAATACTCTCTCCCTTGGCTCCGTGTCTTACGGTTCAGAAAGATGTAACCTCTGATCACTTCTGACACACCATTGTTTGACTGTAGGCAGAATTAAATGATATCTCTCTCTCCTCTCTTTTCTTCCGCTCTTCAAAACGGAATTCCCAGTCTCTGGTATGTTACTCTTTCACAGAAAGGCTTGACAAGTATAGAAATGCAATTTCACTGATTCAAGGCAATTACCTTGGAGCCTCTCTCCTCATCAGGATGAAGATACTACAAAGGCACAGATGGAGGCTGACTCTTGTAAAGGAAAGAGCTTGAGGCAAAGATCCGCAGCAGCCCCACTGACACTTGCGTGGTGATGACTTAAATCGCTCAAGCACTTGAGACAAAGAGGAGAGAATCCTAATTACCCACCATCACTTGCATCATCCTCAGTTTGCTGTGAATGTGGTGAGAAAGAGTTTGTAGTACATGTATTACATAGTGTGTGAATCGTAGTGCCACCCACTAACTTTAGTATCTTGGGTGATTGTTTTCACTGGTTTGCCAATTTAGTATGTTTTACTGAAGTCAAGAAAAAAGAGGAGGGCAAGGTGTGTTTTACTCCTAGCACCAGCATTTCTGGCCTTTTGAGGACTGTACTCAGCAATATTTAGTGTTATTATTGCGACAGCATGCTGAAGGATAATATCCAGCATTCCCTTTCATTTGTGCACTGAGACCTCTGTTGTTGTAGTTTGAGTTTAGAGCATTGTCTACAAGGCATATGCATGATATATCGGTACAATAACTTAATGGCTTGTATTAGAAAGTAACTTATCGGTATTTTGCAGAATATTAAATTGTGCATGCTCAATTTCCCTTAATTTTACTTTTAGATTACCTTTCCACCATCCAAAGCTCACTTAAAGTTAATCTTCAAAAACATTAATTAAATAACACTGTTAAATGTAATCTTTAGCACATTTTTACTTTATTTATACAAAATATTATAAATTTTAAGTTTCATTTAAATAGTTAAATATTTGAATAAATATTTAAAATATATAATAAAATACAAAGTAAATTAATGTTTAGTTCAGTAGTTGTTTACTTTGCATTATACTGTGTTTTTTGTTTTTACTTTAGACAAAATATATAATTTTTATATTTGTTAAATATTTAAATATTTAAAATATGTTTGTTTTAATAAATATTATAAGATATAATAAATATTGAAGACATATTTGTTTATTATATTTTTAATATTTAACTATTTATTTATGTTAAAAATCTATATTTTAATACCAGCCATAATCATTAGTATCTCCCAGAATTTCAATATTGGTGTCATTATTATGTACAAGGCCTAGTCTCATTCTTATTTTCGCTGTGATGCTTTTTACATTGTAGCTGTTTGTTATTAATTATGTTATTAATGTTGTTATTATTTGTTGTTCCTGTGGCTCAGTGGTAGAGCATTGCGTAAGCAGCGCAAAAGCTGAGAGACCATTTTGAAGGCTCAGGAAACCTTTGCAGGTGTTTTGAGTTGATTAGCTGATTGGCATGTCACCATATTCTAATTTGTTGAGATAGTGAATTGGTGGGTTTTTGTTAAATGTGAGCCAAAATCATCACAATTAAAAGAACCAAAGACTTAAACTACTTCAGTCTGTGTGAATTGAATTTATTTAATACACGAGTTTCACAATTTGAGTTGAATTACTGAAATAAATGAACTTTTCCACGACATTCTAATTTATTGAGATGCACCTGTACTGGTAAAAAAAAATGTATAGCCTGAATGCACTGTAAGTCACTTTGGATAAAAGCGCCTGCTAAATGCATTAATTATGATTAACTATTAATTAAATTATTATTAATCAGGTAATTAGTGTACATAATAGGTTTTTGTTGAAAAATATTTGGTTATGATTTCTTCAGTGTTTTTTAGTGTCTGCATACTTTAATTCAGTTCAGTGTATTTAAGATGACAGGATATTTGGTATGATTTGACCTGAAAACCCAGGAGAAATCTTTTAAAAGTCTAGTACAAATCAAAATGGTCCAGTTAAGTCCAAACTGACAAAACCGCTCTGATTGGCACATTTTTGGGGGTGAGGCTGAGCTAACTGCTTTCAGACCATTTACCAAATTTATATTGATCAATTTAACACTGCAACCTCTTCTCTCAAACTCCTTGCCTCTCTCTCTTCTAGTGATTTTGAGTTCCCCTTGCCCCAGCACCCACCCACCCAATCCCCGGCTTGTTCCCACTAGGCTCCATCTGCTCGTGGAGGGGGCTGCAGCAGCTGCAAAGCCTGAATCTTGTGCTCCTCTGTGCTCGCCTGCCTGCCACTGCACACGAGCACCAGCTGTAAACTAGCCTACGCAGCCTATAGCACTGCTGCTAAAAATCACTGCGAGATTAGGCAGGTGATTAGTTAGTGATAGCACGGAGAGGATGGGATTTTTGGTAATACTGGTTAAACAATATAGAAAATAGGCATGTTTTGGGAGTACTTTATGTCTGAAAAGCTTACTGTAGAATTTATATTCTCAAATAATTGATAACAACTCAAAGGGTTATATTTTTATGTTAATATGTATAATGGGTGACAAAACCACCTGAAGGGCTTTTATGGAGTTTGTGGATGTATTTTATGGAAGCTTCGGAGTTCTTAATCATAGTTAAGGAAAAAATGAGAACGCTTTTGTTATATTGTTATTGTCATATAAAGAAAGAAAGAAAGAAAGAAAGAAAGAAAAAAGGAAAAAGAGCTGTAAAATGATTTCATTCTTTTAGAAACTTTTGAAATTAGATTCCTATTATCTATTAACTCTTATCGTTGCTTCACTTTGGTCACAAAATGTGCCATTTTCATAAACCTAATCCCATGAATATAAATCAAAGCGAAATTACCATGTGATTAGTCACTGACAGCAAGAGGTAGATGGGATTTAAGGTAGTGCTTGGTAAACAATATAAACAAGTGCATGTTTGAGTGCAGTTTATGTCTGAAAAGGTATAATAGCAGCTCGATAGATCATTTGTAATCTCCGATAATCTTCTTTCAGTACTTGATGTCTGCTTCTGACCTTAGTGTTATTTATTTTCGTGTTTTTTTCCAAAACAGTAAGGATGTGTTTTCTTGTACCTCCTGTGGCACAAGAACAACCTTTATCTAAAGCATATGCCCACATATAATTGTAATAAAATATTGGTATTGCTAACATATATGAATATATATATATATATACACACACACACACACACACACATATATATATATATATATATATATATATATATGTAGGCTAGATGTCTATGAATGTCCAATGTATTTTGTGCAAGCTCTCAGAGTAGAGGTGCTGAAAAAGGCCAGGGGAAACGAGGAACAGGCCAAGTTTGAGGTGTTACTGCTTTTTTCATATAGACTTGCTGTTAGAGAAAAAAAAGGAAAGAAAGACTAAAATGTTTTTATTCTTAAACACACACACAACACACAATGTATCAAAAATATGTGATTTGGATGAAACTCATTAGATTGTCGTAACTAGACTTTTCACAACAATAAATTCTTATTCCGCAGAAACATGGCGGGCGCCGTGAACGTAGAAAAAAATGAGACTGAAAGACGAATAACAGCATCAATAAATCATTCTCGTCCAATGTTGTTCCCGGGAGATTTCTGATGGATGAAATTAAGCACTTCCATCTCCATCTCCCACCTGATCGCGGGCGTATAAATCCCAGCAGCTGATCAGCAGAGCTCAGACATCAAACCGACCCCGCGCGAGCAGAGACAGCAGCGGACACCTCTCTCTCCCTGCATCAGCATTAATAACAGCTCCTCCGGAAACGTGCTCGCATTTAAAGCTGCCCATTTTTGGAGCGCTTCCATTTGGGTCTGAGCGCACTCTACACGCGGGCTCCTGGAGGCGGATCTGCTGCTCCCGTCGTGCGCGCTGTCCAGTGCTGAAGTTGCATTTCGTCTGTACGGAACGGCTCGTGAACAGCTCCGGAGCTTCCGCGTCTTTCCCCGCACTCAGGTGTTTCACTTTCAGCCCTGCTGGACCAACTCTTCTATTTTGCTGTGGATAAAGCGAGGATAACGTGCTGGAAGAGGCTTTCCGCTCTGCGCTCTAAACATGCCAAGGTCTTTTTTGGTGAAAAAGGTGAAGCTAGATGATTTCTCATCCACTGAACTTGAGAGCGCGTACGGCAGGTCCAGGACTGATCTTAGCTTTCGGATACACGACAAAGGTAAATGCAAAGGAATGCTTATACGCTTTTTCGGTTTATTTAGCACTCTTTAACCTAATACAAGCAGAGTTTTAGATGCAGCCATAATCAAACACATCTGAAATTGCTAAGCATGGTTTTTATTGTTCATTTATGAATTAAACTCTGCAGGAAGGAAAGTAGATATCCAGTAGCAGGATGGAGTACCCGTGGCTTTGTTTGTGATTTATGTGAAACCATAATGGGAATGCAAACATAATTAGTGGGATTCCATCACTGAAAAGGCATGGTAACATTCGCATGCAAGCCATATGAATATCTGCCGCTGGTAACAACGCTTAACTTCTCAGCAACTTGGAGCTCAGTCACTTCCAGATGAGCTTAGGTGTTTGTTTATTCTGCAAATCAAAGAAACGCTTAGGGCAGCTGCACACAGCACACTGCTTATGGTGGTGCCTTTAGAAGGAGGGTAATTAATCTTCCACTGTAAAAAAAGTGCTATCTGTGCTCATACTGTAAGTCCATAGTAAATGTGGCATCCTTCACAGCTCCACGGCTTTGTCCTGAAATAACTCTGGAATAATGTGAAGTCAAGCTGACACGTATTCTATTTGAAATTTCCTGTAGTGAGTGGTCATTAAGTCTAATTATATTCAAAGAGAAATGCTGAATTTGTTAAACACATAATGAATCTCAAAGAGCACTGGCAGAATCTGGTCACCGGTCGCCTTTGCCAAGGTGGAGATAAATTGAGTGGAAAAGTGGCCATCGCATCGCCGAACCCCATTGTCCTCACCCGATTCCCTTGTGAATATGAATAATTGAATAAAAGATCTTGTTCTCTCCACGCTAGGCTACATCAGTGACTACATCTCCCCATCCGTTTATGATGGAGAAATTGACGGTGGCACTAAAGTACCTTCTCCAGGACCGATTTATGACAGCAACCACAGTGACTATGGGGCACCTGACTTGGACCAGCCTGACAGCCCACAGTCAGAGATCACGTCCGGGTACATCAATGGCGACAACGCAGTGAGCGAAGGTTACACTGTGGATGCGTTCTTCATCACAGATGGCAGGTCCCGTCGGAAAGTGCTTGGTGGCTCGCCGACCCTCCAGCGGCACACGTGCAACGAATGTGGCAAAACCTACGC